AGAATCCAGGCTGAGACTAAGGGTCCTGCCCCTAAGCAAGGTAATCCTTTGAGCCTCAGGCTCCCCACCTGTAAAGGGATACAATTATCAGAATAGTTAGTAGTTTGGAGTAAGAAGAGAGGATTGGGTACTCTGAATTATTTCTTGCCACACACAAATTCTAGGTTTTGTTGATCCTACACCTCTAAATCCTTTAATCCCTGTCTTGCTGCCTCCCTTGCCCACCCTGACTTCTGGTTCAGACCTCCTGATGAGTCTTTCATCTGCTCCTCTGTCTAGTCTACAGCTCCTCCTGTCTCCTGGGGGAACTTTTGTGTCTTTTGTCTAAGATACACTCTTCCACATGTTAACACCACTGAATCAGAAGTTGACTTATTGTTGGGTCACAGTATCATCAGCAGCCTACAAGGCTTATTTCAGTGATACAGCTAAAATTATAGATTCGGTAAGCAATGTGTCTCTCTGAAATATATGAAAAATTTTGAGTTAGTTCCTATTTCTTAGAGTCTTAGGTTTGCCCTAGACTTTCTCCAGCCTCACTTTGCCCACCCACTACATCTGTTCTGTGATTCCCCTGGGCTCCTTGGGACCCTGTTGTGCCCAAACATCTTCATCTTGGAAACACAGCTGAAGGACCTCTTGCAGTCCTCACCCTGCCTTTCCCCTCCTGCTCAAGCAGAACAGAACTGGACTCTGTTCGCAGGCCTCGTCACTAAAGTCATTCTGCTTCCCATAACCAGAGCCTTGCATCTTAGCTCTTCTCACCTCCAGTTCCTGACAAGCCATCAGGAATGAACTAGAAGCTGGACTTTGACTTCAGGAAGGAGGTTCAGGAATAGGCTTATGAAATCCAGGGCATTTTGTGTCCCTTTCCAGGAGGTACCTGACTTCCCAGAGCTTGTGCTTCTGCCTGCATGCAGAGCCTGCTGGCCTCAACTTTCTCAGTAAAGCAGGCCACATTTTATTGGACGATTTCACTCCTTATTTAACCATGAATACTGATGATGTGAGACACCTGCCTGGTTGAGGGAGGCGCAGGGTATTTGTTGTAGTGTTTTTTTCTGTCTCCCTGTAAACTATGGCATAGTATGTTTTAAAATACAGAATTTATCTTTGGGTCGGCTATTATTAGACTTGAGGGAAAGTAGTAGGGCTAACCCAAAGTGTGGCCTGCCTCCCTTTAACCAGAGTAGTATGTATAAACTGGCAGCAGCAGCATCTGCCACAGATGGCTTGGCTGTGGAGGCCCATGTCCTGCCCAGCCACTCAGAGATGTGCTGTCAGGCAGGTTACTAAGCCTTTCTCACTTGCAGCTTCCCACCTGTGAGGCAGCGTCCAGTGAGCTCTCAGGCTCATTTATGTCCTTGTCACCTCCAAATAACACTGCCAATGTTTTTTCCAAAGGAAGCTAAATTTTTAACTCTTAATAACCTTATAAAACTGTCAGATTATGCCGCACAAGGGAATTTTTAAAACCTATATTTGTTTCTGTCAATTCAAAATACTAAATTTCATGTGGGGATTCTAGAAGTTGCTACATATGTCTGTTCCAATTATACAGTGGTACCTTTGTTCACCAGTTTCTTTCCATAGAGTTGGATGAGAACCAAATCAAATTTAATGGTTAGGTTCGATGTTGACCTTATGGGAAATTTTGATTCAGTTCTTTTCCAGTCCAGTTTGCAACCAGAATCATGCAGAGATTTGAGTTCGTGAACTGGGGTACCACTGTACATCTGAAAAGTGGTGAAATAACCATAGCGTTGGAGTGGAAACTCACAGGACCCTTTCAGAGATGGGCCTGAGCCAAAACTCTTAATCACTGGACCTCTGTCAGCCCCTAGACTGAGGGACCACAGTAGCACTTTGAATCTTCATATAAGGGTCATTTTGGAGCTAGTGTTTCATTGATGACCAGTGGTTTGACTGTTTTCCCTTCCCCACTTCCTTAAAGTTAGCAGACTTTCTAAATGTCTGCAGGTCTCTCTTGAGAATCTGGAATACTAAGAAATTTGCAAAATGTGCTGGCCTTTCTCATGGTTAAATGTAAGAGTCATGCCATGGTTGCTAACCAGAATAGTTGGTATAATTTAATACAAACTAAAATAGAAATTTAAGACTGAGACCTTGTCTGGTTAGAGGACAGAAGTTATCTGGGAAATTGGGCAGGTATAAAGTAGGTTGGTTGTCAAACTGGGCTGAAGGTGTACATTAAGAATTTGGCTATGAAGGCTAATTTGGGGGCCATCGTTAGCAACTTTGGCATACATTTTGCAGCGATGGGCTTTTTAGACCTGTGTAGGTTTTAGCTATTACCACCTAAGTGTGATATTTTTGTGGAATCATCCTTGTTATTTTTCTGATGTAAATTTTGTCTTTTGCATAATTTGTGAGACCTTTATTCTCAGCACTAGGAGTATTGAAATCAGTGACTTTCTAAAGACCTGGTTGGGGTTGTGTGGCAATGAAGATGTTAGTGATGGCCAGTGCCTAATTCCCAAAGTACCTATGTTTTGAAAAATGTATTTTGTGTCTGTACCTTAATTCATAGTAATTGTATAGCATAGTTGCCGTTCTCATATTTAGTAGATGAGCCTGAGCCACTCAGGTTAAGGACTTGCCCAAGGTTCTAGGCATATTCCATCATGTTTTCCTCTAAACTAAGAATCCAGCCAGTAAACCCTTAGGTAGAGCTGGGATCTACACCCAGACTCCTTGCCTCGTGGTCTGTGCTTCTCTTCACCCTGGCTTGGTTCATGCACTGAGAGCCAGCCACCATCTGCATCCCCTCCCATCTATCTCATCCTCATCTTATTGTGAAGTAGCAGAGGCCAGGCAGGACTGCTATTCTGGTGTGTCTCTTCCAGTTTCTGGTGGGCAGATGGAGGCTTCTGCATGAAAATACATACTCCAGCTTCAGAAATAAGCCCAAGGGCCCCTACTTAGGGAAACAGTTTCCTCTCTGGGACAAATGGCTGTGTCCCCCAGTTATCACTCTGTTAATTTACTGATGGCACATCAGATCCCAAGAATGCTTCTTCCTTTTGGTTGTTTTCCTCTCCACAGCCCCTCAGGCTCAGCTCACTGCCTCAGAACAGGCTTTTCAGTCCAGGGATCCCATCTACTTTACCATGCACTAACTTAGGCCACTTTTTTACCTTTTTTCCAAATCTGTGTTACATACAGTCTGTTTGGCAGACCTGTTTTCTCTTTTCCTTCAGTTGCCATAGTTATCAACTTTGTGTATAGAATAATAATCATTTCCCACCCTTTATTCTCCCATCAGAAGTTCAACTATTTTCTAATATGCCTTTGCAGAAGGAATTTGATGGCTTTTAAATCATTTCCTTTCTGGCTGTACTTTCAGGAAACACTTCTTGCTCTTTTTCTTCTATCTCTCTACTAGAATCTAGATGGATTTGGGGTTCAGATTGCTGCTTCATTTTGCAGTGCTCTTTGGGTAGAGCCTCAGCCTGCTTGCCAGTGACCTAGAAAGAGGATTATGAGAGGGGTGAGAACTGTTCCAAAAAAAAAAAATACATCTACCCTAAACTAGTTCTACCTCTATCACCTTGATTATGAGTAACATAAACAAATAAATTGTATAATTGCAGGAGAGGTAAGGTCTATTAGGTTGTGATAAAAAGAAAAAAAAGCCTGGAGCTTTTTTCAAGTCATGTTGTTGGCTGTACATGGAATTCCCAAGCCTCTGGCTTTGGGACTATGTATTGATAATTTGAGGGCCATTTGTGGTAGCAGGAATCTTCTGGAGCTCTGATTGTCTTTATAATGTACCAAGGAGTAAATGACTAGCAACAGAGAGTGTTTGAGATGGTAAGGTTCTTGTCTTTGGTAGGATGAATATACCATGCTGGGAGCCAGAGAACTTAGTTACACCTTACTAGTATCACCACCCAGGGCAAGTTCCTTTGCTTTCATGCTCTCCTTTTCATTAGACATAAGACATCTGCCCTCTTAGACTTAGCTCCAGGGGCAGTTGCCATCAAATAACTTCCGTTTAAGGACTCAGTGTGGCAACAATCGCTTTGTAGGGAATATTGGGATTTGCTTGGAGATGACAGGCACCAGCTTTCCTGGTTTTGAACCCACACAACTCAATTCACTTTATGTATCTACCTCAGATGCTTCTGTTCCACCAGACTTCCTAGTCACACCTTCCTGGTTCATTTGTCCCTGTGTCATTATTCCAGTCTGCAGTTCCCTTCTCACTTTCCCCTCCTGATCTGCCTGTCCTTTGAAGGGTAACTCAGAGCCTGCACTCTGTGTGACTGCTTCAGACCTGCTGACTCCTACCTACCTTCCTATTGCCTATGTTTGGCTTTTGAAGGTTGCTTTGGCAGATACCTACTACCTCAAAACTAAGCCTCAGAGCTGAAGGCATATTACTTACTTGACATGTGTTAGACATATGGTATGCTAGCAATGGATATCGAAGAGTTGAAAATGCTTCTGAAATAATGTTAAAATGCCACTCCACATGTAGTAACAAGACTCCTTAAGCAGGTTAGGAAAAAAGAGAAGGTCATTTGCCTGACGAGAAGTAACAGTGATAATAGAAGCAGCAGACATTTGACAGCCTTCTCTCAAATTGTACCTGTTCATCTTCCCAGCAGCCTTGGGAAGTATGGGTGAAATGATGCTCCCTAATAACGACAAATATAAGGAAACAAAATGGTTTTATGGTCAACGAGACAGCTGTAAACTTAAGTTTGCACCCAGGCCTCTTAATTCCAACCCCCAGGTGCTCGACACCAGTCCCTAATGCCTGTGTCATATCTTTACTTGTCCTATGTTGATAGAAATATATCTGCATGTGTATAATTGGCTCAGTACCAGTTTTGTCAGTTTTCTTGGGGAAATTGTTTGTCACCACAGTCTTTTTTTAATGTAGTGCATTTCTTGCACTACATTAAAAAGGGCAAAAGTGATGTGAATGTGTCCATCTCACTGAGGCTCTTACCTGTCCTCCTTTGATTTAGGAGAAAGGATCCTGGGCTATGCTGAAGAGCCCTGCTATCTCTGGTTTGTCATGGAGTTCTGTGAAGGTGGAGACCTGAATCAGTACGTCTTGTCCCGGCGGCCAGACCCAGCCACCAACAAAAGCTTCATGCTACAGCTCACGAGCGCCATTGCCTTCCTGCACAAAAACCACATTGTGCACAGGGACCTAAAGCCAGACAACATCCTCATCACAGAGCGGTCGGGCACCCCCATCCTCAAAGTGGCAGACTTTGGACTGAGCAAAGTCTGTGCTGGGCTGGCACCTCGAGGCAAAGAGGGCAATCAAGACAACAAAAATGTGAATGTGAATAAATACTGGCTGTCGTCAGCCTGTGGCTCAGACTTCTACATGGCCCCTGAAGTCTGGGAGGGACACTACACAGCCAAGGCAGACATCTTTGCCCTGGGCATTATCATTTGGGCAATGATAGAAAGGATCACTTTCATAGACTCTGAGACCAAGAAGGAGCTCCTGGGGACCTACATTAAACAGGGAACTGAGATCGTCCCTGTTGGTGAGGCGCTGCTAGAAAACCCAAAGATGGAGTTGCACATCCCCCAGAAACGTAGGACTTCCATGTCTGAGGGGATCAAGCAGCTCTTGAAAGATATGTTGGCTGCTAACCCACAGGACCGGCCTGATGCCTTTGAACTTGAAACCAGAATGGACCGGGTCACATGTGCTGCTTAAAATTCAGGGCTGAACATCTTGGGTGTTTTAAAACTAGGTGAGTGCTCTCTTCTTGTTCTGCATGCACACTTACTGGACTGGGTTCTGTGTTTTGAGTCCTGGGGAGAAATACAGGGTGGATGGAGGAGTAAGTCCTTAGTATCAAAGACCCCACCCTGAATTTCAGTATGGAGATAGGTGGATTATTTGAGCCCAAGCTGGGAAATGCATTTTGAGGAGGACTGCATTTGGACTGATACTTTGTAAATTTTTAGAAAGATTTTTTCTTATCAAGTAATAAGTCACTGTAGAAAATGTGATACAAAAAGTATAAGTTTTCAGGGAACAATCACTATCCATAATTCTTTTCATACATCCACCTCTACATAGTTTAAATCTTACTGTAGTTAGGGAAAGTTGTATCCTGCTCCTTTCACTCAGTACTGGTTTGAACATTGCTCATGTCGTCCAGGTGTGACTTTCAGTGATTATATGGCATCCCACTGTATATGCCATCATTTATTCTGCTCTGAATAGCATGTTTCTTCACTTTAGATACTATAAATAAAACAACAGTGAAGTATTGCTTGTTTGTTAGAATTATTGAGGGGTTTCATTGGCCAAATACTCTACTAGGCTGTGGGGTAAATAGATACAAAAATCAAACACTCTCCTTCATGAATTCTGCAGCTTAATTAAGGAAAGAAGCATTCATTGATTTTTATCAGTTGCTTTACAGTGAAGGAGAGGGGTGTTGAAGGCAATTGACCTGTCTGGAGATGGTGCCCAGAGGCAAGAATAGCAAATAAAGGATAGAGTGGGGGAGTACCCTGGTTAGTTAGGAGGATCAGCCTCTACAAAGGACTCAAGGGAGCCTGGCACGTTGGGAAACCCTAGAACAGTGGTGGCAAACTTTTGGCATCCGTGCTATTTGTTTGTGGGCTATTTGTATCATTGAAAGCTCTAGAAGGTTTGCCATCGCTATCCTAGACCAATTTAGCTTTGTAAAAAATGTAGACATGTGATTAGGGAAGACAAAAACCTGCCAAGACAGGGACCAGTGTGGGTAGAGGTTGAGGTAAAATGCAGAGGTGGAGGCTAGGGCAGTAGATCAGAAACAGATTGCCATATATGCCTGGAACTGTACTTTCACACTGCACTCATTTCACCTTTACCACCCTACCAGGAGTTAAATGATTTATCCAGGAACCTACTACATTGAGGGCAAGTATATCTTACTTGAGCAGGCCGCTCCCCCTTTTCCTTGAATGTCAATATGGAAAGGCAGAAATAAGCTACTCTTAGATTTTGCTAAAGCCTTGAGGCGGGGGAGTGGGGTGCTGGTCGCAGTGATTATAGGGAACAAGCCTCAAGAATCATCATGTACAAGGTCAGATTCTTTTTATTTTTTTTGAGACAGGGTCTCACTAGGTAGTTCAGGCTGGCCTTGAACTCACTGTGTAGCCTGGGTAAGCCTCAAACTTGAAGCGGTCTTTCTGCCTCAGCCTCCCAAGTGCTGGGATTACAGGGATGCACCACCATGCCTAGTTTAAGATCAGTTCTTAATCCCCCTTGTTACTCAGATTTCTATGTGGAGGTGGCTCGTGCAGAGTTGAGCTGGGTCCGTCTGTGAGTTCTCATTGAGCATGCTTGGAAGTTAGTCACTAGGTTTAATTCTTCCATTCCACAGACATTTTGAGAACCTTCCACATGCCCGGCTAATTTGTCTGCCACCCAGTGAGTAGGAGAAGAGTCTTTCCCCAAAACGAGACTTGGGTGGTGCTGTGTTAGAAACCAAAGATTTGGCTTACCAGTGTTTGAATTGTATTTCATTCTGTCATTTCCTATTTCCATCTCACCTTTTCAGTTTTTTTGAAAGATCTCATACAATTCAAATTTGCCCTGGTAAAGGAGGAAGGTTGGCATTTGAAGGAATTGAATTTGGGTTAAGATTATGAGGTTGTCACAACTAATTGAGATCAGGGCTCCCAATTTGACATCCACACTTGGGATTTGTGTTGCTTTTTAGGGCAAAGTTTTGTTAAACACAGGTACTTCTTTTATCTAGGAGAACTAGGTGACCATGAAAATAAGAGAAACTTGTTTACCTTAAGTGTTCCAGGAGAGTTAGGTGATTCAGTTTGTGATGCTAACAGCTAATTACCACTGAACCAGTGGTAGTTTCTGACCATAACCTATCTTCTTGCACTGTCCTGGGGTGGGGGTGGGGGTGGGGGGTTGTCACTCTGGATTGTAGGCATTGATCTAGGTCTTGAGTGCCTGGGGCCAAACCTTGTGCTATTAGAAGCTGCATTCTTGTTGTGAGGTATCTGGCTGATTAGAGAGTCACAAGCTTGAGTTGGAAAGAAAACTGAATACAACCCCTCTCCCCTTGCCAAGCTTTATAGACAACGAAGCTAATTCCATTTATTCATTCAATATACTTAACAGCAAACTTATTTGCCACATATTATTTTAGATACAGATGATATATTTGAACAGAAAAGATAAAGTTTCGCAGTTGTGGAGCTTTCTCTTTAGTACACATAATAAAACACAAGTCATCTGTGAGTGCATAGGAAAGAGAAGAATGAGGTAACTAAAAGTTAAATAGAGTAGGCTTTGTAGGCCATGGCAGAGATTTTGACTTTTGTTTTTATGTGACGTGTGTTTTGAGCTTTGACATTTGGTCCTTTGAAAGGGTCACTTCATCTGCTGTGCCAAAAGTAGGATATAAGGGAAAAGTGAGAAGGTAAGATGCAAGGACCCTGTAGTAATCCAGTTCCAAGGTGGTAGTGGCTTGAGATTGTGGAGGAGGGGAGTTGATTGGATTTGGGGTATATTTTAAAGTCAGAGACAGTAAGATTTCCTGTGGATTGGATACAAGGTATGAGAAGGAATTAAGTGTGACTGCAAGGTTGTGGCCTAAGATACTGGAAAGATAGAGTTGCTATCAAGTGAGATGGGAAAACATCAGAGAAGGAATGGGTTTGGCTGGAGAAATTTGGGTTTTGTCTTCTGGGAGTGATTGAACTCTGGATTGTCTAACATTAAGATTGGCGAGAAAGACGGGAGCTGATAGGAAGAAGTAATCAGTGGCATTTCCCTTGGGTAAGTTAAGTGAGATGAAGACTGGGTATTGATGATCAGGTTTGCCAGGTGGGAAGACATTGGCGACTCTAGGAGTTATAGGAAACCAAGTGAGAGCAGCTTTTAGAGTGATATTAACACTGAGAAACATAGCAGTTATATAAGTATATTTTATGAAAAATAACTTCAAAAATGAAAAGTAAGCATTATAAGTAGAGTGGCATTGTTATATGTATTTGCAAACCTCTTTAATGTCTCCCTTAGTAGTCAGCTGGTTTCTCATTTGCTTCTGCATTGTAATCTGGGCCATCATCATGTAATTTCTGGAAAGTTCTATTGTATAAAGGAGAGAATGGAAGTGAAAAAGGCAAATAATACCTTTTATCAGTATGAAAAAGTTTGGCTTCACAGACTGCCCTTTGAGAACCAGTAGTACAGATGGCTCTGAGGAATTTTGCTGTGAAGACTTAACTGAGAGGGCTGGGGATTTAGCTCAGTGGTTCGGGTGCCTGATTGGCAAGTGCAAGGACCCAAGTTCAATCCCCAGTACCAAAAATAAAACAAAAAAAAAAAAAAAAGAAAGACTAACAGAGAAGTGGGTGGTAGCTAGAAACTTAGAGAGAGAAGGGGATTGTTTACAATCCCAAGTGAAGGAACAGAACTTATGTGTCCTGATTCTTTTCCAATTTTCCTGTTAGACTTGTTGCATTTCAGACAAGCTGCATATAATAAGCATACCTGACCCCAGCCCAGTTCCAACGTGAAGACACACCTTAGTATTCTAAGACTGTGGATTTCAGAATAACATTTAAATCAAGGCTAAATTATATCAGGCTTTTTTTTGCCATAGTGAAAGAAAATGCACTTTGTGTTGGAAAGTTGGGATTCCCTTGAAAGGACTGTTGGCTAGTGACTGTGCACAGATTGAGTCCTATTTGTGGTAAATATAAGAAACTATCTTGTGCAATTAAATGTTCCAGAAAGATGTATCTATTTTTAATAATTACTCGACAATGGGCCCTGTCTCTGCTTTGTCAGTTTTGGAAGATGTTTAATAATTCCTAATGGATCCTACCAGCCAGCCACTAGCTTTATCCCAGCCGGAAGGTGGCTAAAGTGATGTTCCAGGTGCCACCACCCACATGTTACCAGGGAGGTTGTTGTGGGATGAAGGAATCTGCATTCGGGCCAAGTCTGCTATACAGTACACAAACCTCTGTTACTAGGGCCTTTTGAGGCCAATCCCTTGAATGACGTCTATTTGGAGTGGGCAGCTAAGGCCTGCTGAAGGAAATCAGATGTTGATGTGACCCAAGAGGTCATAGAAAGTATTCTTTGCTTCAGATGAAATCTTGGTAGCTGCCTCCCATAACAGAAAAAAGTCATGCCTGATTTCTTGGTAAAAGTTACATAGCTAGTAGGGGGCCACATCTAGATTTGAATGTAAGCCTTAGTCCATGGTTAACCACTGTGGTGTATTGGCTCTTGAATCATCTCAATTGTCTATAAACTTTAAATGGTTTCATAATTGAATTCAGCAAATTATTAGATATTAACCATATTGAATTTCCTTCCCTCCTTTGCATGAGCATCCTGAGAAGGGTAACATGAAGATGAGACACCTGGTGTTTAGGTGTCCCATGAGAGGAGGTAGTTTCTTTTGCTCTGAGAGAGTTCAGAGTATGCTGCTCCAAAGGGCACTGTAAGTAGAGAGGCTTTATGGGGCGGTTGTAGCTAGCAAGGAGCCAATATCAGTGGTTGATTCTGTACTTTAGTTTTGGGGTTTGGGGGGTTTTTTGTTTGTTTATTGTTATTTTAAGGAATCTCTATACTGATTTCCATATTTTTGTTTCGTTTTGGTTTTTGGTACTGGGAATCAGACTCAAGACCTTGCGCTGGTGAGGCAGGTGCAGTGCCACTGGGCTATATCCCCAGCCCTTTTTTTTTTGATACCAGGGATCGAACTAA